TTCAGCCCCGCAGCTTTTATAGGTCCTGAGATGAAAGTGTGTGACAGACGCACACACAGACACACAAACAACCTCTCATCAATATGCGTTTTCTACATTGCATAGCTGCAAAAAACGCATAATGACGTGATTTGTATATTACCAGCTCTGAATCCGATGCTTTGTTCTGTTCTGAAGCGTTTTTTCCACGTCTGCGTACAGCTCGAGCCTTCTCAACGGCCCCTTCATCAGCCGATGTTGAGCTCTAAAACTGGTCCGATTAACTGGCGACTCAAGCAATGCAGCGTGGCCAATCCACCAAAACGAGTTGTGAACTAACATCATTGTCCGGCACGACACCATCATCGGAATCAAACGATTCCACCGATTTTTCACTCACAAATGTGGCGCCATTTGTAGAATTGACCGCGCATTCTTCTGTTTTCGCCACAGTTGGCGACCCGAGCGAATCAAGATCACCTGAAAAGCGATCAAACTCAGTGCAGTTTTATGTGTTTTTGGATATTTTTACGTTCAAATGCTTCAGTCGTTTATGTATCATTGTATTCTTTTGCATATGCAGTTTTGTTACGGATTTTATTCAAAGAAATTCTATATCTACTTCTGATTACGACGGTACGTGAAGGAAAAGAATTGAACAATAAATAAGAATTTGAAAATACAGGCGAAAAAAAAAACCGAAATAAAAGATTTACTTGTTTTTGGCCCATCTCCCACATTTTGTTGAGAGATGCTAGAATTTGCTGTGACATCGGGGATGTTACTATTCAACAACTGCGCATTTTCATCCACATTCGAGATATCGAAATTTGTCAATAACAAAGCATCTTCAGTGTCTTTTGCTTCTTCGGGCGCTGCCACTGTGGTAACTGCTTGTTTTACCTGAATTTCATGTCAAACAAACAGTAGTAATGGTAAGGAAAAACAAGAACAGTGTTGAAAAACATCTTCTTTTTCCTTGACGCTGTCGACACAGCCAACAAATTCTTCCCAAATTTGATTTAGGAAAGAAAAAAAAAATATTTTTTCCGTCAATTTTTTGCAAGTTAATCAAATTCCTACAAAATACTGGTATAAAAAACGCTTCGATAAAAGATTTGGACGAAACTCCAGTCCCCAAAGTGCCCTAACCCCGCTTTAACGCTCTTTCGGAAACTTGCAAATTCCAGAATTTAAAGTCAAACTTCTGTGTCCACCAAATCATTTTCGAATGAAGCAGTCTTCTCGGTTTTTAAAGCATCGTCGGTTTTTAAAACATCGTTCAAATACGTTTTGCGGCGTTTCCTCTTTCCTGTGATATGACTGGCACGTTTTACCTAAAATAATACATATTTGTAACGGACTAGCTAATTCGCTCATCGGACAAGCTGCGAAGCTGAAATTTTGCAGGGATATTCCGTATTCACGTGTAATATTAATTTAAGCTATAAGTGAAATTCCTTGCACGCGAACATGACGAATACTCAATTTTATCGCAAGCTACCCAACACTGCTAAGACAATTTACGAGAATGTAATTAGAGCTATTGCCCCTCTTTCATCGTAATTCATTTCCGCGTCAGTCACTTAACTACCCACTTTTTCATAGTTGTAAATGGAACTGGATCACCTGATGATCAGCCTTCTAATGATGCTTGCCCTTGTTTGCTTCGCTTTTCACCAAATAAATACTTAAAAATGTATCCCCTCCGCCTATCATTTGTCCCTCTAGCAGATTTAGCACCGAAGTAAGGGCCTCTAATGGCAGAAGGAGGTGTGTATGTGGACAGCCATCAGAATACGACCATTAGAATATAATCACTAAACCACCAGAAAACTCATGAAAAATTAAGTTCATGTAGTCACCTAAAACAAAAACAAATAATAATTACGTGTTGTGCTTTAATTAACCAAAAACTACATCGAAATCACTATTATTTACGTTGTATATTCGACTGTCTCGATAAATTTTTTCATCAAACAAGGCATTTTTATGCGTTAGGGTATAAATACACGCTTAAAGAAAAAGAAAATTATCATCCCAAAAATTTGGACTGCTCAAAAGCGCGGTATAAACCATTGGATGAAAGAAGAAAACTCATAGAAAATTAAGAATCAAAATTAAGAAAATTAAGAAAATTAAAAATATTAAGAAAATTGAGAATATTAAGAAAATTAAGAATATTTCTCCCTGCTTGTTTACTCACGTGAAGCCGGACGTTTGCTCGTATTAACAAAATCAGTATCAGGCATGAATTCTTAACGAATGTCATCTCAAGTTTTCGATTTTGAAAATAAAGCTTCCTCTCGAAAGCTAACCAATTTTCGGATATACGGATGCCGGATATCTTCCTTAAATGAAGGAAGCCTGGTGAACAGTAGCTGTGTCATATCGGAAAGAGTTGCTTCAGCAACTTTTCGCAAAAGTTCACTCAGAGCAGGCTCGAAGCTAATCCGAAAGCAGCTCTGCATCATTTCGCAAACACTTTCATTCGACAGCAATCTTCCGACCGGCGTGAGCAGAAGCGTACGCAAAACCTGAAGAAATTATGTGAAAATGTCAAAAACAACGAACAGCAACATCACAGTGTTGGAAAACCGAGTAAAGTTTTTGAGGTGAGCCGTCGTTCTGTCATATTTCTATAACGTGTAATGATGACAGAACCTAGTTAACAAATGACGATTTGTCAAAATCCAGAGAAATTTACTAATATTTGCGCATTACTGCATATTCAGGATTAGTAAGTTACGGCCTGAATAAAGATAAACAAGATCGTGATAATTTATCACGTTATTTTTCGACTTTTGCATCAATACTCGACCAAAAAAAAGAGGTACGAAGACAAAAATTCCCAAGAACGGGCTGAATATCCCCGCTGATGAATTAGTTTCGGTAGTAATAATCACAATGATGGTGCGAAGGTGCGCTATGATAAAATGATAATTGATTAAGATAATTGTAAATAATACTTGCCATAATAAACGGGAATTCCTTATTCAATTTATTACTAAAAAAGAAAGGGTAGAAAAGGCCATGGCGGTCCAACCAAGAAGTGATCATTTAAAAAAGGAATGTCAGATCTGTGCTGTGGCAGACGAGGGTTGGTAATGCAAACCTCAGTACTATGCGTGCCAGTATAAAATATGAAACTTGCCGGCAAAGCTTAGAAGTGAAGTGGTATTATTCATGTGCTGTTGCTAGGAGGTCCAATTCGGTCAGCAAAAAAACCAGTCCCTCTACAGTTTGTTCATGCATTTCATTGGTAAAGAACCATCAGCTTACTTTTAAGCAACCTCTGCGAAAGAGGGAGAAAGAAGCAATCAACAGCCTTATCAGCGGTTGGTTATTGTTGGCTCATGTTGCCATTTGGACTAGCTTTGAGTACCCCCGCCCTCAACAGAAGGGAGTTAAAACTTATTAAAGCAATCTTACTACAGCGATTTTTGAAAATAGATCAT